CCTGCACTGCATGTTACTGTACTGAATACTGTAGGCAATTGTAACCATAATAGTATTTGTGTATTTAAACATATCTAATACAGAAAAGGTATAGGAAAAGAAAACAGCATAAAAGATTAAAAAATGGTACAACTGTATAGGGCACTTACCATGAATGAAGCTTGTGGGACTGGAAGTCGCTCTGGGTGAGTCAGTGAGTGAGTGGTGAGTGAATGTGAAGGCCTAGGACATTATTGTAGACTACTGCAGACTGATAAATACCATGCACTTAGGCTACACTGAAATTTTTTTTTCTTTCTTTGATAATAACTTAACCTTAGCTTACTGTATTTTTAAGCTTTTATGTTTTTAAAAACCAACTCTTTTGTATTAGCACTCTGCTTAAAACACAAACACCTTGTACAACTATACAAAAATATTTTTTCTTTTATATCCTTTTTCTTTAGATCCTTTATGTCCTTTTATAAGCTTTTTTCTATTTTTAAAAATTACTTTTTTCTTTTCAAATTTTTTTGTTAAAGACAAAGACACAAACACATACATTATTAGCCTAGGCCTACACAACATCAGGATCATTAGGAGGTCACTAGGCGGAAGGAATTGCTCAACTCCATTACGTTATGAGACCATGCCACAGTTTGCCCCAGTTACTACCAGACTGAACAAAGGAGGACGAACATAGAAATGAAGACAAAGAAAAAGGATTTGTTTTAAAGAAAAAGAAGGGGTCAGGGGAAGAAGGAGGCTTCTTGCTTCTAGTGAGCAAAGGCAGCCCTGAGCGTCTACAGCCCTTCGTATTTATTGGGTAGAAAGAGGAGGGAGGAGCTAATGGTTGGTCAGCTGCTTGACTGATCACAGGTTCCCATTATTATAGCTAACAAGCTTCAGATGTGCCTAATCACAAGAAACACTGCACTTGGGGTGCGATAGCCCTCAGCATTCCTTCTGGGCGGCAGATGCAGTTCGTCAGTTTGCTAACATTCTGCATTTATGAGAACAGTTTGCTGTTTACTCATATAGCCTCCACTGAGTTGATCACGACCCTCACTCTGGCCCGCAACAGGACCACTGTGGTATCATGCCATCTGCCATTGACCAAAATGTCGTTATGCACACATGCCTGTATTTCAAACCTTCATGTCTTTCCTTAGAAGCCCAGCCTTTCCCTGAGTCTTTGGCCTTCAGGAACTGGTCCCGCTGCCTGTTTGGTTCCGCATTCCTCCATTCCACACACTGACTTGCATCTGCATCCATCACCTCCCCTTCCTCTGGCCTTAGCAGCAGAGACACTTTCAGTTTGCAGCTGACCCTGTGCTCTGGCACTTGAGTTCTACTTGAGCAGAGAACCCTTCTGCTCACTCCCCCTCTATCTTCACCCTCTCCTCTCTAATAGTAGTTAAACTTTAACATCCAACCATCCAGATATCCATCCATCTCTTTGTATTTTTGGATATGTATATCATGCACATGGAACAAAATCCAAGAGGCACAAGAGACCCTGAACTGCAGAAGTCTTCCCTCCCCCACCACTCAGGTCCTCCTCCAGGAGGTCATGATGGTTATCAGTTTCTTCTCATTACTATCAGTTGCTGACAACTCTGTGTCCCCATGTCCAGCCCAGAGCTCTCTCCTGGGCTCCAGAGATACGTGTCTGTTACCCACCAGAACTTTCACTTAGATGACTCTTGAAAGTCTGCTCCTTCTCCTGTATTCATTACATTAATTGCATCTTCCCAATCATTTTCCTGACTCAGAGCACATAGTAAGTGACAAGGACAGGAGAGGCAACCAGCTTAGGGACTCCAGCTGCCCCAGATTCTGCCCCCAGGACTGAGGAGATCAAGAGTTCTACACATTCAATTCATTTGTGGACCACTGTTTGGGAAGTTCTGCCTCAGATAACACCATCACCACGTGTTGAGATGTTGAAAACATCAGGGGCATTAGAGAGCGCTCTCTTATCCTCAATCTCAGATTGGTCAAGTTCTGTCAATTGTATCTCTTGCAAATATAGCTCTTTCCCTACATCCCCACAGTCACTGCTTGCTTAAGGTCCTCATCATTTCTCTACCTGCAACAGAACTGGTCTTCCTGCTTCTTGTCTCTCCCCCTCCAATTCATTCTTCCCATTGCAGACAGTGATCATTTTAAGTTAGAAGCTGCTCCTGTCTCTCTTCTGCCTAAAGTCCTTCACTGGTTTTAACAAGGCCTCTACTTACCTACTGGCCTCCTGACATTCCTCAAACTCTATTTTCCAGATAAAGCAAATTGGCAGTTCTTCAAAAGTTCTTTCTTTCTTCTTTATCTTTGAATGCGTTGCTTTCTCTGAATTAAACAACTCTCCCATTTACCCCTACCATGCCCCCAACTGTTGGCCTTCCTTCCTCTCATAACTCGGTTTCGATGTTACCTCCTCCCAAAAGCCCTTCTATGAGGTCAGAGCCCTGATGGGGCCCTTCCCACTGCTGTCATGGTGCATAGCACATTCCTCTGGCCCACAGCATTGAGCATGCCAGCTCCAGAGTGACACTCTGGCCCCTAAGGCTAAGGTCCTTCCTTTCTACTCTAGTCTCATTTCTGCCTTCTCCACTCCACAAAATCAGTCTCATCAAAGTCATGAATGACCTTGGTCATACAACCATTGGGTATTTTTCAGGTCTCATTTTATCTAACACACCAGTAGCATCTGACAGTGTAGACCAGTCCTTGTTCTTGAAACACCCTCTGCCTTCAGGTCTTTTACATCATCAGATTTCAGGGGCTTATCCTGACTCTCTGACCACCCCTTTCTCATGGTCTTCTGTCAGTTAACCATGACAGGCTAAGTTCCTCCAGGCTTTCTTCTCTTACCTTCTCTCTAGACAATCTCCATCATACAGATAGCTTCATCTCTATTTATGAGTCAACAACTCCCCATTTGGCAACTGTAGTCCAGATCTTTCTGAGCTCCAAGAAGTATGCAGTTTTCCATGTGACATTTCCATTTTAGATATCACACAGGTATTTCAGAATCAAAATTTAAGAAATGAAACTCATGCTTTTTCTACTCTGGCACCATGCTTCTTCCTCTTCCATCCACAGGCATGCATGCACACACACACCTCCCACATTCTCATATTTTCTCTCTCTCTCGTTCTTTTATCATTTTCCCCTTATCAATAGTAAATCTGCCCAGTTGCTCAGTACCATTTTCCCCTTATCAATAGTAAATCTGCCCAGTTGCCAGTTGGGATTCACCAGAGCCAATCAGATTCATCAGCAAGTCTTGATAATTCTACCTCCTAAATATCTCTGAAATTTCTACTGCCTCTGGTCTTGGCTGTATGCACTATCCCCCAATACCAGTCTTTCTGCAAACAGTCTTGCTTTATTCCAGGATGTTTTTCAAACTAATCCCACACATGACCAGGTTCTCTCCATCTAGAAATCTTCTGTAGCTCTCACATCTCCTCATGGCTGTATCTCTCAGCTCCATCTCTTCTGGCTTTGGCCACATAAGCTTTTCCACAGTTTTTCCAAACAAGTTGATATATACTTTCCTGCTTCAGGTTCTTCCCTTCTATCCACAAGCATGAGCTCTGACAGCATGGCAGCCAGCAGTTACTCCTCCAATGCACCACAACTGCAGTCATCTATATAATGTGTGGCCAGCCCCTTGATGGACTGCAGGTTCCGAGAGGGCAAGATCAGGTCTATCTCATTCACCTCTGTATTTCTAGCTCCTAGCACTAGCTTATAGTTGGTACTGCACACACATTAGCAGAAGGAAGGAATGTTGGGCTCCAAGACACTTGACTAAAGCCCTTTGCATAAATAAATTGCTTTATTTCTAGATGTATATAACCATACCTAAGATGAGATCATCTTTAAGGCAAAGAAAAGATGTCAGCCCTCCCTTATTTCTCATGAGTGGAGAAAATACCAATAAGAAATATAAGCTTATTGAAATTTGTTGGCTTTTAATAAAGTTATCTAAAAATAAATCTGGTGTTGTAGATTGAATTGTGTTTCCAAAAAGATATGTTGAAGTTGGCCAGGCGTGGTGGCTCATGCCTGTAATCCCAGTACTTTGGGGGGCCGAGGTAGGTGGATCATGAGGTCAGGAGTTCAAGACCAGCCTGGCCAATATAGTGAAACCCTGTCTCTACTAAAAATACAAAAATTAGCCAGGCATGGTGGTGTGCACCTGTAGTTCCAGCTACTCAGGAGGCTAAGACAGGAGCATCACTTGAACCCGGGAGGCGTGAGTTGTGGTGAGCTGAGATGGCATCACCGCAGCCTGGGCAACAGAGTGAGACTCTGTCTCAAAAAAAAAAAAAAAAAAAAAAAGATATGTTGACATCCTAATGCCTGGTACCTGTGAATGTGATCTTATGGGAAATAGAGTTTTGGTGGACATAATCAATTTAAGATGGGATCATACTGGTTTAGGGTGGGTCCTGAATGCAATGACTGGTATCCTTATAAAGAGAGAGAGAGAGATTTGGAAACATAGCCATATACAGAGGAAAGACAGACATGTGAAGAGAGAAGCAGAGGTTGGAGTGATGCAGCAACGAGCTAAGAATGCAAGCACTGTAACCCAAAGCTAGAAAAAGCAAGAAAGAATTCTTTCTGGAGCCTTCAGAGAGAGTGTGGCCCTGCCAATACCTCACATCAGGTCTTCTAGTCTCCTGAGCTGTGAACAAGTAAATTTCTGTTGTTTTTAAGCCATTCAATTTGTGGTAATTTGTTATGGTAGTCCTAGGAAATTAATAAATATGATACCTACAACATTTATAAGATCACAGTGTTCTTAAGTTGTGTTTTCTTTAACATTCTTATGAGATGTTTTATTTCAAAGGATACATTGAACTTAACAGTTTATTTTGTCATGAATTTAGTTTAGAAATGATAAAATACAAATGGGAGTTATTCATATTAACAGTGATTCAGTTATAATAAATATGTTAATACTCTTTTAATAGCAGTCCAATAAAACGTCACATCTAAGAGCTTACCTGATTGGTATGGCTGAAAATGTATCTTGTCTCCAAGTGCAACAAGTTTCTCCTGTTGAAAAATTTTATAATCACAGAATTAAATGACCACAATTCCTAACTTAATTATTCTTTTTTTTTTTTTTTTTTTTTAGATGGAGTTTTGCTCTTGTTGCCCAGGCTGGAGTGCAGTGGTGTAATCTTGGCTCACTGCAACCTCTGCCTTCTGGGTTCAAGTGATTCTCCTGCCTCAGCCTCCCAAGTAGCTGGGATTACAGGCCTGCACCACCATGCCCGCCTAATTTTTGTATTTTTAATAGAGACAAGGTTTCTCCATGTTGGTCAGGCTGGTCTCAAACTCCCGACCTCAGGTGATCCACCCACCTCGGCCTCCCAAAGTATTACAGGTGTGAGCCACTGCATCTGGCAACTTAACTATTCTTTAATAGAAAAACACTTTGATTCTTCATTTTTAAATAACGAACAAATATTTTTAACATACCAGAAATTGTATAACCAAATGAGTAATGTTCTTTCACTGATGTTTTTCAAACTTTTATTATCTCATTACTTTTAGGAATTAAAAAAAAATTTGAATCCATAGAAAAACCAATATATGCCTTGGCCTAGGGGAATCAGTTTAAGATCATTATCAAGGTCAGTCCCCTTGCATCTATTCTGACATTACCTGAATTAGATCACTTGTCATTCTGGTCATTATTTGTTCACTTATTTCAATATCTTTGAGATCCGTAAGAACCACCCAAGTTCCATTCTCAAATTTCACAGGCATAGAAAAGACGATCCCTTTAGGAATACCAAACTGGCCTGCAGTGAGCAAACACAAAGCAGAGCAAACACAAAGCAAAGCAACACCGCAGAACTTAGAAACATGCACCTTTTCTGTTAAGCACTGTAGAAAAGCACAAACATAATACAGGATTTTTAATGATAATGATGGAATTAAATTTCTGGGAGTTCTTCTCCAAGGAGGACAGAAACACTCCCTCTAGGATTGACTAAGCAACTATCTAAGTTCTAACAATTCTGCCATCTGTATTTCTCTCTCATCCAGAGGCTAGTGCAGTCTTTCTCTTTTGAACCTTGTCTGTATTCTTTTTGTCTGTCTGCATGGCTTTTCTCTGGACCCCTATGCAGCCCATGAGCCTAAGTCATTTGTCCATCTGGCCTTCCACTCTTCTCGCCTGCTATGGCACTCACACAGCCAGAGTATGAGGAACTGGGAAGGGAAAGGAGAGGAGGCAGGAAATTTGGTTATTCCTTTGCAGCCTCTAGTTTGCCATGTGTTTTGGTGTGTGTTTGCTTCATGTGGGATGATTTCCTTTACATGTTTCTACATCTTAAGCAGAAGCCATCCTTCATTTAATAACACATTTAATTTCTTTAAGATATACAGAAATACTTATATTTGGATGTGCTCTAAATAAAAAGATTGACCGTATGTATTACTAACTGAGCACCATTCCGACAAAACTGTCCCCGTTTCTGGTGCCTCAATCACATAAGAAAATTATTTCTGCCATTCTAAACAACAAAAATGTCACCAGGGCAAAAAACAAACAAACAAACAAAAAAGCAACAACAACAAAAAACATTGAGGACATTCAAGAAACCGAGATCTAAAAGACTTTTCCTTAGAGGGCTTCCCAGGTCCTCAAGTAATGCTGTACTTTGTTTAATGTGTGAAGAGCTAGCCTTATGGGCAGACAAGGTCTGAGGGTTTACCTGTTTGGTATGGTTTCACAGAGACAGACAACAATCATCTACCCCTCTCCCCCAAGTACTGCATTGTTTATTTCTGAATATAATTCCTACAGAGATTAATTAAACTTTCTTTCTACAAATAAAGGTAAGGTTTTAAATGCCTGTTTCCCTAAGGAGATAATTTGCTGATCTGAATTCACACTATGGCAATGTTCATGCACCTTAACTTCAGTTGAACAAGATTCACTGAGTGTCTGGATATAAAATACTTCTCCCATGAAGAGGCAAAGAGGTGGCCCAGAAAAAGCCTTTGCCCTCAGGGTGCCACAATGAAGGGGACATATGCAACTAATCACACTATCAAAAATAGGCAGACTATAATATTCTCTGTGACAGGGGAACAAAATGCTATGTGGGGATACAGAGGAGAGACAGAGATTCATTCTGACATGAGGGATTTGGGGAGATTTCCTTAACCTGCACTGGTGTCACTGAAACAATAGGGAAGATCATGGTTCTACTTATAACGTAAAGAATACAAGAGATGGAACCAATTGGGAAGGAAGACAGTACATACAGTTTGGTATATGTTGGATGGAAGTGACAACATGACATCCAGGTGACAATGTTTCAGAAGCTAGAGGCAGAGAGGCCCGAGTCTGCAGCTCTGGGAGTGGACAAGCTTGCTAAGGGAGAAAGTAGAACCCAAAGGGAAGAGATGCTTAAGATAGACCTTACAGATGACAGAACAGCAGCTATTCTCTTTCCTGTTGTGTAAAAATGGTAGAAGTCAGCCAGGCGTGGTGGCTCACGCCTGTGATCCCAGCACTTTGGGAAACCGAAACAGGCAGATCACAAGGTCAGGAGATTGAGACCATTCTAGCCAACATGGTGAAACCCCGTCTCTACTAAAAATACAAAAATTAGCTGGGTATAGTGGCGTGCACCTGTGGTCCCAGCTACCCAGGAGGCTGGGGCAGGAGAATCACTTGAACCCGGAAGGCGGGGGTTGCAGTGAGCTGAGATGGCGCCATTGCACTCCAGCCTGAGTGTCACAGCAAGACTCCATGTCAAGCAAACAAACAAAAATGTAGAAGTCTTCTGCATAGTTTTTAGCAGATTAAAACATTAGGGCTGTAAAAGTTTATATGCAGTATTTGTGGATGGAGAGCAACCTTTCCACATCACCAGTGTTGCCTGGTACCCTGAGATCTGGGTCCTTAAGTGTCCCTCTCTATCCTGCCTTTGTGTCTGTGCTCCTATGGCTCCCTGTGCCCAGCGTTCTTTCCACACTTGTCTTCCAGGTCAACACTCCTTATACTTTAGGCTTACTGGAGTGTCGCCTTCTTTATGAAGCCTGTACTGGTTCCCCCTGCTTCCTGCCTAGAATAGAACTTGCTTTCCCCTTATCTCATGCTAGGAAAACCTAACAACAGATTTTGTTTATGTATCTGGCTCTTGTTTATTCCACCGTAGGTTTCCTGAAGGCAGAGGCCACATCTTAACTCCTATGTGTATTTCCAATGCATTCATACAAAATATTGTTGACTTTCTGAATGAATAATTGAATGAATGAATTATTATGAAATTGTAAAAGTCCAGGCAGCTTATGGACCACGTTAAGAGCTAGATGGGTGGGGACACAGAATTAGGAGCACAAGGCATAGACATAGGATTTAAGATTTTACAAGACACGAAAAACCCAGATTTACCTTCACTCAATATTCCTAAAGATACAATCTCCCCAGGCGGTGAGCCATGATACCAGTATTTCAATGTAGTGGCTATACTGTGTGCAGCCAAAATGCCTCCAAATTGTCTTCCTGTGGCGGTCAAGTGTTTAAGAGTTGCCACAAATTCTCTTTTTATCCACTCACTGTAAGGAGAGAAAGAAACAATTTTACAATGGAGAGAGGAATTAAAGTGAAAAAGAGTATTCCCTGGCTCAATGGAACTAAGTATCAGAAACCTAATACACAGTCAAAATAGAAATATGACTTTATTTCTAGTGTCTTGCCTCAAGTGTCTTCAATCCCCATAAAAAAGTCAATTGAAAAATAGTGAAAGGTAGTAGAAAGGAGTCCCAAGATGTCAAACTAAAAATATGATACTATAAACATGGAACACAGAAATGTGGCTAAAAATGGCAAGAACCATTATTTTCATTACAAAGAATTGATCCTGTGTAGACACTACCTTGGAACCAGTAGTACCCTACACATTAAACAAAATAATTTCATAAGACATTGAATTACAGGGTGAGTATCCCTTAGCCTAAATGCTTAGGACCACAGTGTTTCAGATTTTGGAATATTTGCAAACACACAATGAAATATCATGGGAATGGAACTCAGGTCTAAACACAAAGTTCATTTATGTTTCACATATACCTTATACACATAGCCTGAAGGTAACTTTATACAACGTATTTAATAATTTTGTGCACAAAGCAAAGATTGTGTAAATTAAACCACCAGAAAGCAAAGGTGCCGAGTGTAGAATTTTCCACTAGTGGCATCATGTTGGTGCTCAAAAAGTTTTAGTTTTTGGTGCATTTCAGATCAGATTTCTGATTTTTGGATTGGGGTGCTCAAGCTGGATTCACGTTGAGAATTAGGAAAATAATTATATTTTTATGATCTGAAGTCTAAACTCAGAGAATAGTCCAGCTGGTCAGTCTCTGCTAACCCTGCACGACACAGCTCTATGCAACACTGGTCCTGCCCAGGCAGCAAATGTAGAGGAATCACGCTTCAAAATAGCGAACTTCAGACACATCCTCCCTAGGCAGGGGTGAAGTTCCTATGGTCTGAGGAAGAAAAGGAAAGCAACGGGCAGTGGAAAGAAAATGCTACCACTGGGAAAGTGCTGCAAAGTTTAGAAAAAATGCTTCAGAGGTGCTCCTTCCTGCTTCTCCTCTGCCTCATCATAATTGCTAGGGCTTATCATGCAGACACAGCTCTAAGTCCTTTATTGGGAGTAATCCATTTCATCTTCCCCAAGACCCTATAGGGAGGGCCCTTATTATGTTACCATTTCCACTTTGCAGATGAAAACTGAGTCATAGAGAGGCTAAGCAGCTTCTCTAAAGTCACACGGCTACTAAGTGGCTAAGTGAGAATCGCAGCCTGGGTGGCTTGGTCCTGGGACCGTGTTCCTCACAACCTCTTGCTTCGGCCTCCTGCCACACAATGCCCAGCCTGGCCTGTGCCTGCTCATCATCTTAATTCCTTGCTTGAAAACATTTCAATTAATTTCAACCTGGATAGATAGCTCTGTCTTTACACTTAGTAAGATTCCCTTATACACGCTTGCTTTAGAGATAACCTTACTTGAATATATGAGCTACTGAAGGATCTGAAATATAATAATTCATAATTTCAAAATCAAATCAATTACCTAGTTGATATTCTGTGGAATTTTCTGTGGTAGACAGCATGAACAAATACGAGTGTGAACAATGCAAGTTATTTTTGTACAAAGATTTATAAGATGATTTAAAAGATTACAACCATTAAACATTTATTTTAACGCTGTCAGTATGCTTCACTTAAAAATACACCATACCTGTCAAAAATCAAGTTTAAAAGAGGGCGTGAATAATGAAGAGGTCCCCAAATGGCACTCTCATATCTGTACACCCTTGTTTTTCTCAGATCAACGTAATTATTTCCACTGATATTACCCCAAATGATCACATCTTTAATGTCTGTGAAGAACGGAAAGTTAAAAAAAAATGTATATTAATATAAAAATTACTTGAACCCTATTTTTTGTTTGTGTGCATGTTTGTTTTAGGATTTGTTCTTTTGTTATAAAATGAATCTAAGTTTATGATTCCTAAAATTGTGCAAAATGTGTGGATCACCTCCCTAATTATCATAGTTTGGCAGTACCTAATAATGTTCTGTGAATGGTATGGTGTATAATTAAATTAAAGAAATAATGAAATGTTCCCTGAAAGAAACTGCTACTGAAAATGATTTCACTGGTGTTTGTCCTGACTTTGCTTGCCACTGAGAGAGAGAGAGGTGGAGAGAGAGTGAGTGAGAGGTCAAGAGAGGTGAGGGAGACAGGACTTTTTAATATGCTTTGATTTTTGACAAGGAGTTCTTGCTTCTAGACTAGAATAGAAATTAGGACAAATCACTTAACTCTCTGATGGGTTTCATCTCTGGCAAAATGAGGATATTGTAAGAGGACCCTGGGCAACATCTTAGTCAACAAATTGTTATGAATTCTATTCTATGTGTGAGGCACCTCTAAGGTACTAGGTTTAGAAGAAAACAAATCGGCTCAAATCCTTGCAACATTCTAGAGGTGGTGGAAATTGGATGAGAAAACAACTGTTATACAAAGTGATACATGCTAAGAAGTAAAATAAGACCACAGTGGTTAGAGAGAAATAGGCATTAGCATTCAATATGATTTTATCATTGTGAACTGTCTAGGAAGGTTGTATGAAAACTGCAAATAAATAATTTTATTTATTTACTTATTTAACTTATTTATTTGCCTAAAAACTTAATCACTTTTAAGTCCACACCACTTCTTACTGTGGAGATTAACTTCTTCCCTGTTCTTCTGTATAAGATTGCTTTTGTCTTCAACTAACAGAACATCCTACTGACTTGTCTTAACTAGAAGGACTACTTTTCTCAGGTAGGTCATGGTAGGCAGTGACATGTGCTGGTTCAGCAGCTCAGAGATGTGATTCTCTTGGCCTTCCCCTCATGGTCATAAAATGGCTGCAGCAGCTCCAACTATCACCCTCTCTCACACAGTTGTGTTCAGGTATCACCCTCACACAGTTGTGTTCAAGGGCAGGCAATAGGGAAAAGGATAGGGTAGAAGCTTCCTCTTTGGCCTTTTCTCTTTTCAAAAAGTGAAATATTCTTCCCAGGGGACCCCAAATAGACTATATCACTCAACCATTCCTAGTTGCAATGAAGCTAAGGGGTGACTGTTTGAGCCTCTATAGTAGAGAGAGGCTAGCAGGAGAAGAGGGTGGGAAACAGATTTTGGGTAGCCCACCGCCACTGTCTACCTTCATCCTGGGAGAGTCCCGCCCCCATCAGAATGACTCATGCAGTAGGAATAGCTAGTTCTCCCTCCACCACCCAACTCTCAGAGAAGTTAGTGATGGCTCCCGGGTCCCTATGTAGGAGCTCATAGGATCCCACATAGGATTCCCCACTTGGAGAAAATAATTCTTCGGCCAGGTAAGCATATGGTAGGCTTCCTTCCTACAGCCTAAAGAAGCCTTTTAATCTTGCTGGGTTTCATTTTGCTTACCAGTTTTGAGGACCTTGATAGCTCTAAACACCCTAAATTACGCTACAGAAAATGATAGTGGACATCTGCTTTCTTCCCTCTTGGCATGAATTCCCCCTCCTTCTTCTTCTTCTTTTTTTTTTTTCATTAAGAGCATGCTGATTTTTCTTTAAATAACTACTCCTTCTCCAATGTCAGTCCCTATCTATGTGTCGGGTGGGACTGTCCTCACGCCTTAGGTCCACCTATAGGCATTAGATGCAGATTCCACCCACCCCCCATCCGCCCCTGGCCGTGATGGTTGATTTAGAGATGGGCAAGCGGTCCAAGTCTGGACGATAAGTTTGTACTCCTTTTTGCACAAACAACTAGGAAAGAAAACCCTCATTCTCCTGGGGTATGTAAACTACAAGCATGTGAGTCTGGGATGCCAGTGACCACTCTGCCACCTTTTAGGGCTGAACTGCGAAGGAGACCAACACGGAGAGCACAGCAGAGTGATAGGCCAGCAGAGAGAGCACAGGTATGTCCTGGCACCACCGTTTGAGCTCCAACATCCAGCTATGTCTGAAATAAGAACTACCTCCTGTGCTTTTCAGTTATGTGGGGAAAAAAGTTCTCTATTTGACTTCAATCACTTTTTGTATTTTTTTGAGTCAAGGGCTTGCTCTGTTGCCCAGGCTCATTGCAGCCTCATGGCTTACTTGTAGCCTCAAACTCCTGGGCTCAAGCGATCCTCCCACTTCAGCCTCCCAAGTAGCTGGAATTACAGGTGTGAGCCATGGTACCTGATGACTTCAGTCACTTCGAGTTGACTTTTTTTGCAACAGAAGGAGTCCTGACGAGCCAATACATACGGTCTGATAAATAGTGCGATTTATGAACTGAACTTAGGGGGTTATCATGAATCTTGCTTTTCTGAAAAGGTTTGCCACCCTCTTGGAATCTCAAATAATCCCTGAATAATTTCCTTGGTGGTTTTTCTCTTTCATGATGTTTTGCTGAACTTTGGTCATTGCTGGCTGTCTCCTTGCTGCCTCACTGACAATTCTACTTGGACTACTGTCCCTCTAATGCCTTTTTCCTTTTACCAACTTTCCTCCATTTTTCTTTTTTCTGCTTCTCACATGCTTATTGGATTTGAGTAGAGTGGAGCTTAGAGTCATGGCACCAGCAGACCCACAAGACAGCAGCTTTCTGGCTGAAAGCCCCTAACCCCCTGAACCCCCTAACCCACACATACACCTTGTTTTAGATTCTTCTTGATACTTTTCAGTAGTGTATCATAGACTTTCTGTGATAAGTCACTGTCTACACATGTAATTATAAGGTTGATGACATAGATAATATAGAAAAAAGTTTTCGTTTCCTTTTGAATAATTTTAGCATCAATTTGGTTGAGTGTTTTAGTGATTGTGGGGATAAAATACTAAAGATATGTATGCAAGAATACCAGAAATTATTATTCACAGAGTTTCATTGTAACAAAAAAGAAAATACAGCTCTGGCTATAATGTTAGGGGTTCACTGAAGCCTTTTTTGTCCTAACTGGGAACATTCTAGGCTCACATTTCATTGTCTTTCCAATTTTGCTTGAGAGAATGCCTAGCATCTCCTTCCCTTCTCAATGGACACTGTTGTACCTGCTCCATCTAAGGGCAAAAGTAGCTAAAATATGTCCAAAATTATCTCCCTTTTCAAATGCAACGATCAATTTTCTGATCTAGTCTCATCTTCTCATCTTCATATGATTCTGATATTTACCAGTTCAAAGATTAATAGGAGCAGAAACTGATCAGATATCGTAATCCTATTAATAAGCTTAACATCCTTGGAAATGTTTATTATGTGCCATACACTCTTCTAAGCACTTTAGGAATACATCTCACCGAATCCTCACATCAATTCTAGGAGACAGGCACTGTTAATGTCCTCATTTTACTGATGAGGAAACCGACGCACCGAAAAGACTAAATGACAGCTCAAGGTCATACGGGTGGGAAGCGGGGCAGAGCCACTTGCACATAGCTTTGATTTTCTTTTAAACACTGGTTACCTTAATTGACTATTATTATGGGAAAAAATGGAATACGATGTGTCAAATTATCACCTGCATAATATAAATCGTATTGTATTAAACATTTATTGACTTTTATAATGATGGAAAAAGCCAGACACAAAAGCCAGTAAAAAAACAACAACAACAACAACAACAACATTTGCACAGTAGTCAAATCACAAAATAACTTCTTTGTGCCTGTTTTATACTTCCTATTCCAGATACTCAGAATATTCCTAGAGGGGACAGTGTTCTTCCTAGCTGCTTTGAAATCATGTTGCTTCAAAATAAAAACAAAAACATAAAGAGACGTTCACTCACATGAAGGAGCTGTCTTCAGTTTTCTGGCCAGTATGGCTTTCGCTTCACCTTCCACCCCCAGTGCCACGGCAATAATGTTGTGTGCGATGCGTGGGGCATATCTCATGAGTAAAACTGTCTTCAGGTTCACAAAGGTTTTCCCTCCCACGATGACTCTGACGGACTCATGAGCATTTTTCTCTATCAGGTACCCGTAGAGCCTGCACAGAGGCACCCTGCTTCGGAGGCAGTCCTCCAGAGTGAACACCTCCTTGTCGGTGCTATCGTCCAGCACCACAATGACGTGGGCCTGGCAGAAGGCCTCCTCCACCTTCGTGCAGATGGAGACACTGCGCAGGACAGGTGACGCCAGGTCCTGGGTCTCCATCACAAGGCTTTTGAGATATTCTTCTGCCTGCTTGTTGTCAAATAGAGTTATGCTAATTTCTGTATGCATCCCAAACACTTCGCCACTCGTCAATATGGGAATTAGGTTGTAGCAGGCAGGAGCAGAGGCACTGATAAAAATGCAAAGCTGGACTGTGAATAGTTACATCCTTTGTCCCTTTTAAGTCTTTATTCTTAATAGATATTTCTGCATGTGCATCAATAGGGTGGTTTAATACTTAAATAAGCACACACACAGCTGCATTGACATTTTAAGGCTAGAAGTCAAAAGTAGAACAAAAACTTCTCACTACCAATCCCTTGCTCTGACCATCTGAAATCAGTCCCCAAATAATAAATACACCTGTTCATTAGTTTTTTCAAAGAAAACAGAATTCCCCCTATACAGAAATCAAAAGAAAAAAACTGTATTATATTGCTGTAATTACGTGTTTATATTTCCTCCTAAAAAGATAAAGATAAAAGTTTCAGTTAGCCATAGCTCTTTTTAAAAAAATACAACCTCATCTACACAATAATGACATTTTTTTTTTTTTTTGGAAAGGGCTACCTTTTCCAAATTCTTACACAGAAAAATCCTTACAAAGATGGCTGGGATCAACATAGGCTATGTAAGGTGTATCTGTAGCCACAATTCTGCAGTTGTCTACAGCTGTGACTATCAACTGTGAACTGTAATGCCCACCACGGGAAGTTCAGAAACGTATCTGGGCATTTCTGGTATTCACAGTGGGTTTCCGGAGGTGTACAACGGGGGTTTCAACAGTATCTGTACCGATTTAATCCTTTGAAACATCTAAAGAAGATGTGATAGTTATTAAATCTGGGTGATAGGATCATGGATGTTTATTATATCATTCTCAATTCCTTTCTGTATTTAAAATATTTCATAATAACAATTTTAAAAATGAGTGTATATATTAGGATACATACGTACGTATGAGCAGGAAAGTGCAAAAGACAAACTGAGGGGTGAGGAAAGGAGAGGGGGTGGGAGAGAGAGAGCAAGAGAGACAGAGTGACAGTGCAGAGAAAGAAAGAGAGTGTGACAACAAGGACTGCATGTACCCAGACTGGGAGCAAAGAGGAGCACACATGAGAAGGAGAAAAGCAAAAGGGAGCAAGGTGAGGGGAGTGGGGTTACAGAGAGGGAGTGGGTGCATAGAGAAAAGCCAAACAAAGCTCTAGCAAGTGGGAAAGAGGGAGAGAGCAACAGTCAGAAAGGGTGAGCTTCTGCAAAGCAGCCATGCTATAGAGTTGTTTTTAGACCAAGTATATGCATGTGTGTGTGTCTGTAAAACCTAAAACTCATTTATGAGTTATATGGAGAATACAAACACACACACACATACACACACACACAGAGGCATATGTATATGTGTATACATATAAGTATACACACACATTCAGCTATTCTTCCATCATGAAATTAATCCCACCTCATTGTCCTTTCTAAATATAAAAAGTCAATCTCGTGAATCCTGGGATTTGACTGTCCTACCTGGTGATCCAGACCTGCAAGGGGTTGATGCAAGTTTTCAGGCCTTCTTCCTCCTGCTCTTTTTCTATATGTGCCCCCAGGTTCTCTTGAGCAATTACCATCATCAACTCAGTCGTCATGCTAGAGGTGACATCATAGTAAAGCTAAATATTGGGAGAGAAAAAGTCAACATGAGAGAATAGATAACTAGTTGAAATTGGCTATAATGGAAAGTTTTTGTTTAAAGTCAAAATACAATAAAAAGAGACATGAGAGAATGTCTCAGAAAGCAAGATAATTGAAAAATAAAATAATGTAAGAGAATTATCATTGTTAGAACAGATAAGTTAACTTATATACCTGGGCATGCTCCAGGAACTCATTATATCCTCCCAAAAGCAAACCCTTTCCTCCACGATCCAACAGCTCTCTCCATATGATAGGGGAATTCTTGTGACTCCACTTATTCTTTTCACACACATCTTTTAGCCAATCCTGTTGAATGATATTCCAAGTGAAGTCATATATTAACTCTGCCTGGGAATTCAATTTAATACTTTAGAATTCAAACATTAAAATACCAGGTTGTTTTTAATGTCACTACATATATATAATATAATTTAGATATCTTTAAAGACCAAAATGTAAATATAGAAAATAGTGATGATGTTAGTAGCAGATTAATTAGCTAAAAAAGCATATTCTTCAAATTAATTGACCAAATAAAGGTACTGAAAGTTGCTCTTTTTGCTGAGGAGATCTGGAATGCAAGTGTTTAGCTTAAAGAGAGGTTACATGTTCCAACTCAACTGATTTTTTACAAAATTCAACTAGTTTTGCCCTTATTCTTCTACACATGCAATATTTCCAGTCTTAGGGGCATATAACATTTGATACTGTTTTTCAAATCTGTGAATGTGGTTTATGTAGTTCAGACTAAATTAACAAGCTAAAAGTTATTTGGAGATTTCCGATAATATTTATCAGAAAAAGTTTAAATTATCATTATCTGGTTTGTATAGGCTAGGCCTTCCAATGACAAGATCTGAGTAGAGTCAAACAGCAACATTTTTATCAGCAAAGTACATGGCAGCAGTCTTAAAAACCATGTCATTGGAGGCACGGGTAATGAGGCCACCTTACCAATAAAATCCTGGAAACGAATTTCCTTGCTGATATTGAAGATATGCCTGCCTTTATCTCACTTAAAGGGAACAGTGCTGCTATGAGGATTCCAGCATGGCCCCTCTAGCCACAGCATAGCCAGACCAATGAAGTACTGGGCCTATGAAGGAAAGAAACATTACCCCAAAAAACCTTCCGCACCCTGCAGAGCATGTTAATGTCCCAGCAGGAGCTGCGAGTGTGTGTAAAGGACTGGACCCTTACAGTGCTGAATCAAGAGTGGAACATGAAGTTAGACAAGGGAGAATTCATTAGTATGAATCACTTTTCTGCAGTTCAAGAGTGTATACCCTGGCAAGGACCTCAGAAGACAGGGACAACATGTTGCCAGACTGGCTCTTAGAAACTTGGAGAAGGTAATTAAATAAAATAGAAATGCCAGACTTCATGGAAGACAGTAGAAGAATGGATCAAAAGACTAGTGATTCCGGGTGCGGTGGCTCACGCCTGTAATCCCAGCACTTTGGGAGGCCGAGGCGGAGGGAACATCTGAGGTCAGAAGTTCGAGACAAGCCTGGTCAACATGGTGAAACTCCGTCTCTACTAAAAATATAAAAATTAGCCGGGCGTGGTGGTGGGCGCCTGTAATCCCAGCTACTCAGGAGGCCGAGGCAGGAGAATTGCTTGAACCTGGGAGGCAGAGGTTGCAGAGAGCTGAGATTGCACCACTGCACTCTAGCCTGGGTGACAAGAGCAAAACTCTGCCTCAAAAAAAATTAATTAATTAAAAAAAAAAAAAAAAACAAGACTAGTGAACGTGATACTACAGAAGGCTAGAAAGCCCACCATTCAACCATGTTCTCTGGAAGGGACTGCAGGATACGACATGCACCTAAGTGATAAGGAATGCACTGGTGAGAGGGGTCCCAGTGTCACTGAGAAGCCCAGTGTGGCTGTCCGTTCTAAGCCAAGGCTGTTTTTTTTTTTAAACTTCTATTTTAAGTTCAGGGGTACAAGCGCAGGTTTGTTACATAGGTAAATTTGTGTCATGGGATTTGTTGTACAAATTATTTCATCACCCAGGTATTCAGCCTAGTGCCGATTAGTTATTTTTCCTGATCCTCTCCCTCCTCCCACTCTCTACCTTCCGATTGGCCTTAGTGTGTGTTTTTTCTCTCCCTGTGTCCAGATGTTCTCCTCATTTAGCCCCCACTTATAAGTGAGAATATGTGGTATTTGGTTTTCTGTTCCTGTATTACTTTGCTAAGGATAATGATCTCCAGCTCCATCCATGTCCCCGCAAAGGACATGATCTCATTCCTTTTTATGGCTGTGTAGTATTTCATGATGTATATGTACCACATTTGCTTTCTCCAGTCTATCATTGATAGGCATTTAGGTTGATTGCATGTCTTTGCTATTGTGAATAGTGTTGCAATGAACATATGTGTGTATGTGTCTTTATAAAAGAATGATTTATATTCTGGGGGGTATATACACAGTAATGGGATTTCTGGGTTGATTGTTATTTCTATCTTTCTATGCTTCCACCAATAGTGTATAAGTGTTCCTTTTTCTCCACAACTTCACCAGCATCTGTTATTTTTTGACTTTTAAATAACAGTCATTCTGACTGGTATGAGATGGAATCTCATTGTGGTTTTGATTTGCATTTCTCTAATAACCCTGTAATGTTGAGCATTTTTTCATATGATTGTGGCCAAGGCTGTTAAAGGACATGCTGCTACACACCTGAACTCCCTGGCAATTGAGATGATAAAATCCTGAAATAATAGAGGTCAGTGGGCAGTGCCAACCAGAGAACATTTATTGTGACAGAAGCACTAAACAACCCAGCAAACAAGATAACTTAGCTGAAGACCAGACCAGCAGAGAGTGAGGGAAATCTACAATGGATGGTAGAGAAGAGAGGGAGAGAAAAGAGGTGATGACTGTCAGTTTGTCCCTGAAATTATGAGCAGTGGAGACTATAGTTCATTTGACTAACCTTTCTCTTGTAAAGTTTCCCCAGGGAAAGATGGCAACCAGAATCCAAGGAGCTGTTCCAAGACGGTGTGAACTGATTATAGGGAGCATGTGGATCCAAAAGGCACAACAGGTGGACTGTAGCCAGTGCTGTCATGTACACTCCAGGTTCCCCCTTCACAAATGAGGCACTCACTCTCTCAGGCACCCGGCGTATTAGAGGCTGATAACTTAAAGTCTGACTCCACTCTCTCTCTAGGAATTGACTTCAGCCAAAGAAAATTGCCTTGCCTAAGGTTAAGTTCCTTCTCAGGGGCAGCTGATATCCAATGGCTGGTTGAGGAGGGAGCACAAAAGCTCAATTACCTTGCCTCAGTTTGGAGTACCTCTGAAAGGCCATCAAGAGTTCATTGTGGGATCCACTGAGGCCTCTGTTGCAGCTATGTCGAAGTTTAACTTCTTCCTTTACCCAATCCTGCCACCCTCATTCCGTTTCAGGATGCTGTTCCCAAGACCACTTCCCAGCAAAGACCCTTCACCAAAATCTACATCTCAAAGTCTGTTTCTGGGGAAACAGAGTCCCAAAGAAGGGTATCCCGAAGAAGGGTATCCCAAAGAAGTCATTGGAAATCAATACCAAGGAGAATGAAAAGTTAGCAAGTGCAGTGTAAGCTACCTGGATTCTTCAGGGGGTACGGCCAAACTCATCCACTTATTGATTAGAGTCTCATTTGTACTATTAGGTATTAGGGAAAACCATAAATATTATTTTGAGACTGGTAAGTAGGGACTGGTTTTACTAGTATTCAAATATCACTTGTACATGAACAGTCATTACTAGAAGCCAATCTAATACACCAGCTAATAGTTAATCAAATTAAAACACATTTTGTACATGAGTGAGTTCAACAAACTATAAAGGCTTCTTACCTCCCAAACCTCAGGACGTTGTGTGATTTTATGTATCCGAAAATCAGGAAGATTCTTTTGTAAATAGTCTGCCAGAAGTTCTGTTTTAGCATAATATGGACAATCTGCTCTACCTAAAAGAGTTCAAATTAGCAATGTTTTCTTTCATCATGCATAAATTATTATGTAGTTCTAAGTATTTGCTATGTAATTACAGAATTAGTCATAGTTATGATATAATTTAGTAACATAAAGTTGTAGTATAAACTGAAACTGCTATGACATAAACTTCTGATGTTTATTAGATTAATACAAATAAAATAAACTTCATAGGAGGTCAGAATCTTAAGTAATAAAATGTGGAAAGGAAAAAAAAACCCTACTGAATATTTATTCTCTTCTAGTAATATGCTGGACCTCACTTCCTCTAGGAGGCTGCTAACTACTACTAATTCAGCGTGAATTAGTGCTGATAATGAACTACTCACTAATGGCCACCAAAAGGTAAAGTTTGAAGTAAGGAGTGGTGGTAAAATCACTTTTGGATTTGATGCGTGTCAGGAAGTTGTGGGGACGGGAAAGATGAATCTGGGATAACTTCTATTTTCTGGCTTGGGCAGATGATACTGACCTTAACTAGAGAGAAATCATGAATGAGAAATTTAACTTTAGTCAAGTGCAGTTGGAGGTATGTGTAGTATGTCTAAGTGGATATGATCAGCAAGTAGCCATATATATATATATATGTAGGTGCAGGTGCCATGTAAGGGTTTCAGACACACAGTTTGTAGCCATCAACACCCAGGAAGTTAAAGCCACTACACCAGATGGAATTGGGCATCCTATAGAGCAGGAGGGATGGGGCAAAATGCAGAGCCCTCTCTGTAGCATTCTTCCTCAGTAACTCCTAGTCACCAGTTCCTTGGCCTCATGGAAACTCCTAAGTTATCAACCTGTCTGAAGCGACCCCTGTCTATCAGCCGCCCTGTCCAGTTCAAATCTATGGTTCATTTCTTCAAACCACTTTCTGGTCGATTTCTTAAATTATCTCTCCCCACTATCCTTTTGGGAAATGAGCCTGATAAAAGCCCCTCATCTTGGATGAACTCAATTACTTGCCTTTTCTGTAGCTGGGTCCTACCTGCTAGGCACCACTACAGAAACATGGTAGAACCAAGCACAGGGCACCTTTAAAATTCATCGTCACCAGCTTTAATTGGCCCTCAACCCTGCGTGGAGATCCCTTTGTTTCCCTTATCAGCATTCTCTTCTGTTCTCTACAATTACTATTCCAAACTTTTTCCTCTTCCTGCAAATCTTTTCCTTCTCCCCAACATTCTTCTGTATTATCAGAACACAACAAACAACTTTGCTTTCTACTTTACGAAAACCAATCCAAACAAAACAAAACGGCATTAGTTTGGAAAACCTCCAACCTCCTCCATCACACCTACATGCCTGTCTGCTTTTGGACTCATCCTTTCCTCCTTTCTTCATTTCAATGGAAAAGGAGTTCCATCTCCTGTCTAATCTAATCCCACCACTTATGCTCTGAATCCCACCCTCATCTGCCTTCTCAGGAGCCTTGCTTAATTATCCTCTCTTTCTAGAGTCTTGTATCTGTTTCCAATAGTCCCTTTCTGTCATATTTAAATATACTCATTATGTTCCTCCTGTCCTAAGAGACAAAAAACTCATCTCCCCCTCTAGCTATTGCCTTTCATATGTCCTTTTTGATCAAACTATCTTGAAAGAGTTCTCTATACTTGCCATCCTCAGTTCTTCACTTCCATTTATTTCTCATCCACTGCAATGTAGCACACCCCACAATTCTCTTGAAGGTCACCAAGGACTTCCATGCCACTAAATCCAACAGATACTTTCTGATCCTTTTCTTGTTGACCCTTGGCAGCATCTGCCACTACTGCCCCCTTCCAACCTTTTGAAACACCTGCTATGGTGGGGGCATTCTTCAGGTTCTCCTACTTCTCTGGTTACTCCTTTCTATCCTTTGTAGTTTTCCATTCCTTTAACAACCCATTAAAAGGTATCATTCTGAGAAGCATCTTGTCTTTATGTCTTATATATTCTTTTTGGCCAATCTGCTTCATTCCCTTGGCTTTAAGTAGCAATCTATATTTCCAGCTCAGATCTATCTCCTTATCTAGATGCCTACACCCTCCTGTATTTTCCCATCTCCTTCAAAATGTCTCATACACACTCAGATGGTCTATGATGTATTTTTTCACCATTCCCGTACTAAATTTACTTAGTCGCTTATATTTTTTATGTTCATTTCCCTAATTATCTAAGAGTAGTAAGAGTATCTAGAGTATTAAGCCTACTCTTCCACTTTTTTGTTTTTTTCAGTGACTCCTAATCTCTGCAGTTATTCAAACATCTGCTTGGGAACAATGTTTAACTCATTTTTCTCCCTTATTTGCATTCCTCCACTCAATCAGACATCCAGTTCTATAGATTCTGCCTCCCTAATATCTCTCCAATCCATTCACTTCTCCCCATCTCCATTGTTTGCCACTCTAGGCGAGGTCACCATCAACTCCCTCCTGGACTATAGCACTATTCTTCTAACTGGTCTCTTGGCATCCAGTCTTTTTCCCCCACACTATAGTCATAACATTCAGATAAAATTCAAATTTGATTAGGCCCTCCTCCCCTTCCAAAAACATTTCATGTACTCTGAATAAAGTCTAAACTACTGAATGTGACTCAAAAGAATCTATATTATCTAACTCTAGCCTCACCTTATGACATTCTCTTCCTTGTACTATTTGCTTCAGTCCTAATAAACTTATTTCAATTTTATGCTTATTTTATATTCTCAATTATCACCAAACCAGTTCTCCTTGCTGGAACCCCACTCCCAGTTACCCATACCTAAATTGCTCCCCTCCTTTCTACCTCTTCTCTGTTAGGTAATTCATTATCATCTTTCAGGTATCTGCTTAAAATCTCTCCCTCTGGGAAGCCCTTACCTAATTAAGTAAGGTCCCCTGCTATCGTTCCTATAGAACCCTGCCCTGCCAATGTCATACATGCAACATTCTCTGTAAGTGTGTTTTCCACTGACTTCCCACCATACAGTTAGTCAGTGTTCAAAAACATTCTTCTGGGCCAGGTGCGGTGGCGCGTGCCTGTAATCTTGGCACTTTGGGAGGTCAAGGCGGGCAAATCGCTTGAGTGTAGGAGTTCAAGACCAGCGTGGGCAACATGACAAAATGTCTACAAAAATACAAAAATTAGCTGGGCATGCTGGTGCATGCCTGTAGTCCCAGCTACTTGGGAGGCTGAGGTGGGAGGATCACTTGAGCCCAGGAGGTCAAAGCTGCAGTGAGCCATGATTGTGCCATTGCAGTCCAGCCTGGGTGACAAAGTGAGATCCGGTATCAAAAAAAACACAAAAAACAAAAAAAACAAAAAAAAAAAACAAAAAAAAACAAAAAAAACTTCTGCGGATGGTAGATGTCAATTGTGTTCAATGTATCAAAGAGATCAAATAAGTCAAAGACCAAACAGCTTCTATAAAACTCAGTGGTGACTTTGGTGACAGAGTTTCTGCCAGGAAGCAGAAGTAGAAGCCTTCTTCCAAGATTGACTGGAAGGCATAACTGGAGATGGAAGAGCACTCTACTCTTTTAAGAAACTTTATGAGGAGAGGAGGCAGGTACCACGGATTGCTGTAATAAAAGCCTTCTCAGTTGAGTCCTTGCTGTCAACCAGCACTTTCAATCATTCTCTCCATTGCTGCCAAGACAGGCTTCCTAAAATGCAAACTCATTAAGACTACTCTCCTGCTTAAAATTTTTCTATAATTCCTCATTGCTTTCAGGATACAGTTCAAACACCTTTGCTTGATGTACACGAAATGCAAGGACCTGGCTCCCGCTCCTGTTGTAGCCCCTGCTCCTGTCACGCCCCACATATCCAGATCTTCTGTTAGGCCAGGAGGCTTCCAGCCTCTCTGCTTTTATCTGGAATAGCCTCCTCAGCTCACACCTTCACAACTCAGCTCCTACGTTCCCCAGCCAGTTCCTTGTGTCCACCTCTCCCTCATCCCCCAAACCCAGATTAGGAGTCTACTCTCCCAGAGGCCTGTGCAGGTCTCCTTCATTGCATTAATCACACCGTATCAAAAGTACATGTTCTGTGCCCCATGAGATTGAAAGCTCCTCGAAGGCAGGGATATGTTTCCCTGCATTGCATCCCCAGTGTCCCACAGTGCTTGGCGCACCGTGACGGGCCAGTAAATAACTTTGAATAAATCCACAGCAACGCACGGAGCTGTACGTATAGAGGCTGCCACGCCAAGTGGCCATGGGAGGTGAGCTGTTGTCGGCGTTTTGAGCAATCTGCGGGCGGACGCGGGGATTACTCACCCGCAATGACGAATTTGGCCATGGTCAAGAGAGACTCGGAGGCAGGGACCGCGGCTTCGCGGTTTCCTGGCAACCACGCAGCCAAGGGCAAGGCGCAGGCGCACTACGAAGTCTGGAGCCCAGCAGAAGTTAGGTGTTTATAAAGTTAGGACTTGAATGAGTTACCTTGCGATACACGATCAAACATCGCCCTTATAAGCTCTGTGGTATCGCCGATCCCCCTAGTCATTCTCTTTTGTAAACTTTCTTCTAAGTATGTCCTTCAGCTACAGCCGCGAACGTATGCTTTTTGACCTTTGAGGGAATCCGTAAGATCTCGTGAGACGCGCAGCTTCTCGGGGACGCTGTCATGGCCGCTTCTGTACGTAGCCACGGGGTTGTACTCTAAGGTGAGTGGGGGACGAGCATGGGCTGAGCGGCTGCCCGTATCACATCCTAGACTTTTTACTTCGCGGAGAAAGATCTCAGGAGTTGTCCCGAAATTAAGTTTAAAGGAGGTGGGTTAATGCTGGGCGGCCCAGCTGCGGAAGGAAAGGCTCTTGAAGTTGGTTCTGGGGTCTGGTGAGGCTGGCTGGTTGTACAAGATCTTGGTCCTGAGCGCAGGCCACATGCAGACATCGCTTTCGTTTTCTGCTTCTTCTACTGAGCCGTTCTACCTGCCCAAGCCCCTATCCTTGATAATCTGGGTTCGGCCGTTGCTAAATCGTCATGTTGAAAATGATCTATCGCCGGTCGCGGTGACTCACGCCTGTAATCCCAGCACTTTGGGAGGCCGAGGCGGGTGGATCACCTGAGGTCAGGAGTTCAGGACCAGCCTGACCAACATGGTGAAACTGCGTCTCTACAAAAAATACAAAAATTAGCCGGACGTGGTGGCACACGCCTGTAATCCCAGCTTACTTGGGAGGCTGAGACAGGAGAATTGCTTGCACCTGGGAGGTGCAGGTTGCAGTGAGCCAAGATCGCGCCACTGCACTCCAGCCTGGGCAACAGAGCAAGACTCTGTCTCAAAAAAAAAAAGAAAAGAAAGAAAAAGAAAAAAGAAAATGATCTATCAATGTTGATACCGTAATTTTCACTGAGGACATTTCCATAACAATGCCACAAAAATCTCTCCTATAGAGAAAGCTTTATGGAATGCTTTTACACCAGAAAAATCTCATTAATACAATGACTACTTCCAAAGTGAGCTGGCTTCTTTGAAACTGGACACATTGTGGTAGATTGGAGGGAGCCCATTTTGATAAAAATACTTTTACCGTTTTATGTAAATCTTTAATGGTCCCATAGGTTCCCCATTTTCTCTTCTGTTAAATGCATTTCATATCTTTAAGTAAAAGTTTTGTTTTAATTTTTATTCTTTTAATTACTTCTTCCCCTACAGGAAAAACCACAGCACGTGTTCTTTTTCACTAGTAGAAGCGACGTTGGTTTCATATTGACAACATTAAAGCCGTTTGGAAGTGTTTCAGTGGAGAGCAAAATGAATAACAAAGCAGGCTCCTTTTTATGGAACCTAAGACAATTCAGTACATTAGTTCCAACAAGCAGAACTATGAGGCTATATCCTTTGGGACTTTGCAAACCAAAAATAGTTCATTCAAACTGGAACATTTTAAATAACTTTCATAACAGAATGCGATCAACTAATATCTTTAGATATCTCTTTCAGGATGCATTCATTTTAAAATCAGATGTTGGCTTTCAAACAAGGGGCATAAGCACTGTAACCGCCCTTAGAATTGACAGACTGCTTTATGCTAGAAGACTGTTTTTTGACTCAAAGCATTCTCTTGTCTCTGTTGATAAATTTAATGGTGAATTGAAGAAAGTAAACCTTCATCATGAAGTCTCCAGTGAAGATGTTCTTACCAAGGAAACAAAACCAAACCGTATCAGCAGTAGAAAACTGTCTGAGGAATGTAATTCGCTGAGTGATGTGTTAGATGCATTTACAAAAGCGCCTACATTTCCTAGTAGCAACTATTTCACAGCAATGTGGACAATTGCCAAAAGACTGTCTGATGACCAGAAGCGCTTTGAAAGACGACTGATGTTTAGCCACCCTGCATTTAATCAGCTCTGTGAACATATGATGAGAGAAGCCAAGATCATACAGTATAAGTACCTACTGTTCAGTCTTTATGCCATAGTGAAGCTTGGAATCCCTCAGAACACTCTTTTGGTACAGACTTTGCTGAGGGTGACCCAGGTAAAATAAAAAGGAGATTTCATGCATTTACTTGGTTTAGAATATTTTGAAAGAACGAAGGGAAATAGATATGTAGCCTCCTTAAAAGAGACTATCGAATGGTAGTTTCCTTTATATTTATTTCTGCACATATATTATATGATTTAGAGGCCTTAAGTTAGCTAGTTATTTTCTTCCTTTTGCTATGGAAATTTATGAAAGCCTTCCCCATTTACCATCCCCAGGGTTAAGTAGTGGTGAAGAAACTAAAATGAGGAGAGATGCAAGATATACAAAGAAAGCCTGGGTAGTTGAAGAAGGAGAGAAGGGAAGGAGAAGGAAGAGAATTTAGTCCATGGTAGAATTGGGATTCAGGCCCAGTAGATGATGCCCAGACTGATAAGCAGAATGATAGTGAAGAGGATGGTGTTTCAAGTAGAGAGGATTGCATGCCCTACCATTCCCAGAGGAAAAGTTTGGCGAATTTGAAGAACTGAAAGTAGTTTGGTGTAGCCGAAGCACAGAATGATGGAGTTGTATGTTTGGCGGGGTGGGAACAAGTTTTGTACATGGTGATCAAAGGCGAGGAGTGAGGGACAAGAGGCTTGGGGCAGAACAAGAGGCTAGAAAAATAGGAACCAAATCATAAAGAGCCTCTTACGGCTAGCTAAGGAGTATGCATTCATCCTGTAGGCAATGGGAGTCCATTGAAGAATTTTAAGCAATGGGTTGACGTGCTCAAATTTGTATTTTAGATCACTGAGTGAGTGGAAAATGGATTGGAAGAAGGTTGATATTGGATGGAGGGAGCCATTTTTAGTCTAAAGCAGGAATGCCAGTGTCCTGTTTAATGTCACTGAAATGGTGCCAAATGTAAGGAAGGAAGGATTAGCTTGTTAATCATTTATGTTTTAAGAGTACACTGCTGACTTATAAACTCAATGTTAAATGTAAGGAAGGAAGGATTAGCTTGTTAATCATTTATGTTTTAAGAGTACACTGCTGACTTATAAACTCAATGTTAAATGTAAGGAAGGAAGGATTAGCTTGTTAATCATTTATGTTTTAAGAGTACACTGCTGACTTATAAGCTCAATGTTAATGAAGTAATTTTTTAGCCAGGTGTGCTGGCTCATGCCTGTAATCCCAGCACTTTGGGAGGCCAAGGCAGGAGGATCTCTTGAGCCCAGGAGTTTGAGACCAACCTGGGCAACATAGGGAGACTCCATCTCTACAAAAAATACAAAAATTAGCTGGGTGTGATGTACTCGCCTGTGGTCCCAGCTACTTTGGAGACTGAGGTGGGAGTATCGCTTGAACCTGGGAGGTTGAAGTTGCCATGAGCCATGATTGGGTGACAGAACCAGACCCTGTCTGAAAATAATAATAATAATTTTTTAAAAGACAGGAATTTCTTGGGGATAATCTGGCATATATCCTATCTTGCTATAGAATTCAAGAATTGGGTTCATAGCTATGGGAAAGTTTTTAACTTTTTACATTACTGTGATTTCCATATGTCCTTAAGGACTAACTAATTTTTATTTAGTATGTATGTGTGTGTATTTGTTTAGACCACAGAATATCCCTGTTTATTTGTAGGCTGTGTATTAGTTCCTATGTAGTTATTTAAAAGTGACTATAATAAATCGCCTTACCTAGTCAGTGATACTCTCACTAGATTTTGGACAGATATTCACATCGGGATGACATCTTTGTTAGTGAGGTATGAGTAGTAGGATTTTGTAGTCAAAACATCTGTATGGATGATGGTGTCTCAGTGACCTGTTGGAATAATGTAAAGACATTTTAGAGGTGAAAGGACAGTGTGCCATCAGTGAATTTGCGCTTCAAACACATAGACAGGTGGTCTTTTCTTTCATAGTAGATATTGATGGAATGCTGTAAAATTGTTAAGGGAACCCTTTCATAGGAAAGAAACCTTTTTTTTCTTCTAACGATAACCATTTCTTATTATTACCTGGTTCTGGCCTAAGACTTTGTGATTTGTTGGTTATGTAATGTTAGCAAAAGAACATCTCTCTCTTCAGGCTAAGTTTCCTCAGATGTGATCTTTTGTGAGGTGTATAGACTAGTTGTGATTAAACTGTACAGTATTACTAGTTATGCTGTGTTGTTACTATTCACTTTCCAAATATGCCCACTATTATTTCTGGAATCAAACTTAGTACCCTAAGTAAAGGGACCTGAAAGAAGAATCCGTGGGGTATAAGCTTCCCTTGAGACCCAGATAGCGGTAGTAGAATGTGGCAGGAGATGTGAATTAGAAGATTCACAACTAAAGTTTCAGCTTGATACCCAGGAAAGGATCTAGGGAAATTGTAAGGGCACAACCATTTAAGGATCTTTAGAGACAGGCTAGTTACCTGCTGTACCTCAGTAGTTCTTATATTCCTGCACTTTAACTGTTTTTCCCTTTGTGATGACCTTGAGTTACAGGAAGAGGTAACAATAATGTTTAATAAAAGTTGTTTCAGAAGTAGTGGAATATAATAAATATCAAATGTGTTTTCAGTGATAATGGTGAAGGTAAAAAAGTGTTGATGCATAAAAGGATGTGTATCAGTTAGCTGGAAAATTCAGTAAGTATGACTTTTTATTTCCCAAAGATGCTGTTTATTGTGGACTGACTGTAAGAATTGTTGGTTTGATACTCAATCCTTTTATTCAGTACATCAGTTCAGGGTTTTTGCTTGGGTGAGATAGTTTACTATGGGCTCATCACCTGTAGTGTTTTTGAAATTATATTTCAATAGGAACGTATCAATGAGTATGATGAGATATGCCTTTCAGTTTTATCAAATGTTTTGGAGGTAATGGAGCCATGCAAGAATGTTCATGTTCTACAAATGGGATTCAGGTGAGAACTCTCTTATGCTTTCTGCATGTGGTTTTCTTTGTTCCTCTTATATCTGGAATAAAAAATTGAGATGAAAACTAAACTGCTTTCTTGAGGGGAGAAGTTGGGAAGGCTTTGTTGGTAGTTACAGTCTTTCATGCCTTATTAAGCTTAAAATCCTGACTCTGGATGACATAAGTCTGGAAATATTTCTTTTAGGGTCCATAATAACA